CTCTCTTTTTAAGGTTTATTATTTATTTGAAAGGCACAGAAAGAGACAGACAGAAAAAGAGAGCTCTTCCATCCACTGCTTCATTCCCCAAATGGCTGCAATGGTCAAGCCTGGGCCAGGCTGAAGCTGGGAGATTCTTCCAGGTCTCCCACACAGTTGGCAGGGGCCCAAGCATTTGGGCCATCTTCTGCTGCTTTCCCAGGCATATTAGCAGAGAACTGGATCAGAACTAGAAATTTAATCTCTTAAATGCCATGTAAACTCATCAGAACCCTCTGGAAGGAATCTAAAATATTCTTGAACATTTAAAGAGCAGGCCTAACACTTTCTATTGTAGTTTCAGTACTGTCATATGGAAACTTTAACAAGTCCTATTATTAAATGAAGTTATGTTTGGTAATCTTTAAAAATTTTTAAAAAATATTTACTCATTCATTCATTCATTCATTAACTAGAAAGTGACAGAGAGAGAAGGAAAGTGGAGTGACAGAGAGGAGAAGGGGAGAGGGAGAAAGGAGGGAGAGAAGGAGAGATAGAGACATTGATTGATTCTACTTGCTGGTTCATGCCCCTAATGGCTGCAAGAGTTGGGTCTTCCATTTGGTCTTCCACACAGGTGGCAGGAGCTCAAGCACTTGGGCCATCCTCCGCTGCCTTCCTATTTGCATTAGCAGGAAGCTGCATCAGAAAAGTGCCAGCCAAGACTAGATATAGCACTCAAATATGGGATGCTGGCACCACACATGGCAGCTTCATACACTGTACCACAATTCTGGTCTTTTTTATACTCTTGTGATTGATTTCTATTACTCCTTACTGGACTTATAATTTATGTGAGGTACAGTTACTCTATCTAAATTTAGGGTTGATCCACTCAGCTGGGATATAGGCACTTCATTATTTCTCTTTTCTGTTGTTCTATTATCATGAAAAACTACAGTGCCCAATTTTCAGAAGTGTGATTACTACCCTCTATTTCTTCATCATTAGATTGCAGTTCTTATCTTTTCCTAGGAGCAAAGGTAGCTTTTTTCTTCTGGTAATATAGTTAAATCCACTAATGTATACATTGTTATTACAAATTACTTTTATTCATTATATTCATGGCTACAATCTGATGACTTCTATTTGCTTTTTGGAGGAAAAAGCATGTGCTAGGCATATGGCTGATACATCTCTTTATATCAATTCTATCTTAATAGGTTAATGAAGTTGTGATGTTTATCAAATAAGTAGATTCAGCTTTTATCAGGCACACTTTTTATATAATATAGTTTTTAATTCTATAACTTTCAAGTGTAAAATCAAGTCAGTTATGTGGCCAACTATGAAAAGGTGCAACAGTGTCTCCAAACTTTTTAATATATATCTGATATAAAACCTATACAAAGGAAAAAAGAATGCAATTAAGAATGTATAAAAGTATCCACCATAGATTTTGATCTGTAATTTTGTATTATTTTCAACTGAGAGTCTGCATTTGTTTCTTAGATCCCAGGGCACTCTACAAACATGCCCTTATAAACCTACACAGCATCTTTATCTTCATCAGTATTATCTTTAATGCAATAAGGTAGTCTTTAGGGAGCATTAATTGCTAGTTATCTCTTAGCTACTTAAAGGCAATCTTGGAACAATTGCCATGTATTTATGGGAATGAGGCATTCATTTATTTATTGCCTTTCTCCTAACAATCCCATAGCACTTGAATCAAGATGATAACAGTATAACTACGTGCTTGAATCTTGCATCTTTGCGGGAAGGGGATTATTCCTTCCTCCACACCCAGCATGTGTCTTGGCAGCACCAGTCACCATTATCTGGGGCCTGCTCTTGCAAGGTAGAATCCTTTTTTTTTTTTTTTTTGGACAGTTTTTTTTTTTTTTTTTTTTTTGGACAGGCAGAGTGGACAGTGAGAGAGACAGACAGAGAGAAAGGTCTTCCTTTGCGTTGGTTCCCATGGGGTGCAGGGCCCAAGCACTTGGGCAATCCTCCACTGCACTCCCTGGCCACAGCAGAGAGCTGGCCTGGAAGAGGGGCAACCGGGACAGAATCCGGTGCCCCGACTGGGACTAGAACCCGGTGTGCCAGCGCCGCAAGGCGGAGGATTAGCCTAGTGAGCCACGGCACCGGCCGCAAGGTAGAACTCTTAACAGTGATTACCACTCAGGAGCATTCTGAATCTATCCTTTCTCAAATAGCTTTCTTAAAACAGAAATGGATTTTACTTGCTTTGCTTTTTCTTTTTTTAAAGCAATGGGACAACTGTGGATTGACTTGTGGATTACATAAATTTGACTTGCAGAGGACTGGTATCATGTTTAAATGAGATTGTTAGAGACATCAAGTAATCATTTAATGGTTGCTTGGATGTTTATGTGAAATTAACTATCTGAAACTGGCATATATTACAGATAATCTAATTAAGTATATTTGGCTGATTTAGGATAACTAATAAGCACTATTTTATATGGCTCCATACATTTTTCCTTTTAATAGACACTAATTTAGATATATTTATGACAATATGTTAGTAAAACAAATAGGAACATATGAAAAAGACAATATGATTCACTACAGGGAGAAAACAAAGATCTGATACTTTTTAACCTTTTAAATTTTGTTTTAGACACTTACTCTCAGTTATCCCATACCTATCCACACATACCTAACCACACATAAGAGGACTTGAATGTCAAGTAATTATTTTTAACATTCTTCAGATGTTTATAACCTAACTTCATATTATCTTCTGCCTGCCAGAGAAATATAAAATAGAAGAAAAACTTAGAATGGTCATGCTAGATTAAGACATGAGAGACAGAAAATACAAATACAAAAGAAATAATTAACATGTTTCTCTGCATCTTGATTTCTCTCTTTTATCTTATCTTCTTTACTAGGCATTGTGACATAGCTGATTTTTTCCAAATTTCATACATTGGGGTAATTTATTTCATGCTACCTAAATATTTTTCCTAATTTGAAAAGTAGGTTTCTGTTATTTAATATTTAGTACTTACTTATTTAACATTTAATATTGATTATTATTTATTTAATAGTAGTTAACTCAGGAAAATTAAAGTGTTAAACTGACTTACTAAGATATAGAAAAAACAAAGGCAACAAACTAAAAAAAACACAAGTATTGGTTTTAAGTGAAATGGGCTTCAACTTAAATACCAGTGATGCCACATTCTATATATCAGAGGTCTGTGTGTGGTTAATTAACCCATCTGAGCCACATCTATGAAATACGGATAATTATACTCAGAGTTGCTATGAGGATGAAATGGTTAACTGTGTGCAAGGTGTCTGGCACACACAGAATCAGTAATAGTGACTTATTGCGAGTAACATATAATGCTAAAATCATTATACATTTAGAAATTTAATTCTAACAGCATTCCATAGGATAGAAGTTATTTTAGCCCCATTATACTGAAGTGGACGTAAAGGACAGAGATGTTAATTTGCCCAAAGCTACAGAAATCTTAAGTGTCAGGAGCAAAATTCTAGTTGAGATCCATCTTGTCTGGTTGTCTTGCTGTGTAACAAGCCATTCAAAACCTAGTGGCATAAGATAACCATTTAATTCTCTTAAGGTTTTTATGGGCCTACTGGACAGAGCTGAGTGTTTCCTTTGCTTCACAAGACCATGACCACAACTGCAGCTATGGTGGTGGTGCTAGGGATTTGGGAAATGGTTTAGTCAGAAGGTTGGCATTGAGAGCTATGTAATGGGAGCTCACACGTGGCTGCCAGCAGGAGCCCCTCAGTTCTCCTTGTTGCAGCATTGCATGTGTCCTCCTCACAGCAATCTTCTTGGCTGAGATGGAGTCTGGGTCCCAGGAAGGAGAACCGCAAGAGGACAAGCACCAATGTGCAAACACGGAAGATGCCTTCAGTTACATCAAATTGCTAATGTCCTACATGGAAATGGCTATGTAAATGTAGAAGAGAACTACACAAGGAGATGAATAGTGAAAGATTCCATTATGGTCAGTCAGTAAAGCAACAGGACAACACAACACCTGTCATCAAAACACTTGTTTTTCTGTCCTCTGCACTATCATGATCGTCAGTTACCTTCTGCTCCTTTTGGACAGTGTGATGGCCAATGCCTGGCGAGAAGAACTTAGGAGTTTCAGATACAGAATCAATTACATGTTTTTAGTAAGCTTTTACTTTTTCCTATTTCTAAATGACATATTTCAACTTCACTTGAAAGGTTTTAAAAGAAAGTTTAGTTTTATGAAACAAAAATGACTCTCAAAGAGTTAAGATATTTCTATGAAATGTTTAATGGCATCTGTATGGGATTTTATATATTATAATTCACTAGTGAACAAAATAAGGAGAAATACTGTGATGTTTATTCCCTATCACTATTCAAATGAAAGTGAATACACAAAACTCTATTTATTTGAAGGCAAGTCTAATTTTAGATGTTTTGGAAATTTTCTTACAAAGGAATGACCTTGATATGATCATTTTTGAAAAGCAAGATTTTTTACTTCAGAAGTTGTAATTCTTATCTTCATTTAATATAAATTATATAAATTTATTTCTAATGCCATTTATGTAGATGGGTTCCATACAGAACTTTTAGTTGAAAAGTGTTATTGCAGATAAAGGATTCTATATTCGTACATGAACTTTACTTCTAAAGCTCATTACTTTAACTTAATGATGCAAAATACTGAAGTTTTTTCTCCCATTAATATTGACATTCAGAAAAAATATATAGCCCTTTACTCTTGATTCATTATTTCAGGTTAAATTAGCAATGGTTTGTAGGTAATATCACTTCCAAGCTGTTTGGTGACCAATGCAAACTCTGATAATGTCATATCCTGGTATCAAGACTCTGAGGGATAATATCAGAAGATGATTTCTGAACTAAGTTATCCACTTAATTGACTGTGTAGTGTTATTAATCTTTTTAAAGGAATTTAAATAATTATATGAATAAAGAACGTAGAAAATGAGCGACTTACTTTTTGTGACCACACCTTCTAGGCGGATGATATTTGGATGGTCAAACTGACCCATGATACTAGCTTCTCTTAGAAAATCTCTTCTCTGCCGATCCATGTGGCCGCCTTTCAATGTTTTGATGGCAACTGGGATCTCTCTTTTACCTGGTGTCTTCAAACGCCCACTACATACTTCTCCAAATTCACCTTAAAATGGGAACAAAAGCAATTGTTTAAGCAAAACATTTATACTTCAAAAGAATCAGCCATACAATGCCATCCTTTTTTCTGTTTTCAACGACTCCTGTGATTTTTCCCATGAAGAGTTCTTTTTTAAAAAATTAAGTTTATAAGGACAGTTTGCTTGATCAGCAGCATTGATCATGACTAATGGAATGCATTTTCATATGCTATACCACAGGAGCTACCAGTAATAGACACCCATGATCTGCTGAGAAATTCTGATTAGGAATGTGGTGATGCTAATGTAATTTCATAGAAAAGCAATCACTGCCTAATGTTTCTGTTCTCAACTCTGACACATGAGTCAAATGCTTGCTCTATTCAGGGAATCTACCAGGTAAATGCATAGTTGATTTGATCCCACAGGCTATGTGCTTAGGCATCACTGGCCAATAGAAATCAATGCTAGGGTCAATTGGTGTATAGGCATATTTTAAAAACTACACTGAACTCAACTCTATTAAGTGACTATGTGGGCTAAATTGCAAGCCACATGGATGGAAATACAAAATCAGTGATGTAAGTTATGGTCCAGCATTGGTTCCACTGGGTGTATTAAATAATAATCAATATTAATCAAGCATTTACTACATGTACACTCAGTGTTATATTTCTATGAATTTCCAAGTATAAGACTTGGTGTTCATTTTGAAGAGCTTATAGCCCAGCAAGAAATTTAGATGAACAAAAGAAAACACTTAACTTATAAATGAATCCCTGTAAATACTGCTTTTGTTTCTCTGCATTTCAAATAAACAAATAACATTAAAAATAAATAAAATGACATGGACAAAGGCTAGCAAGTAGATAAGAGTGAATGTTGTGGCAAAGAAGGTTACAGGTTTCTTAGGGCAATGCAACATATTAAAAAAAGTTTAAATTCTAGACTAAGATTTTTTTCGAGGTCTGATTATCTACATTTACTTCAGAGTAAATTATTTTCAGAGCATGATGTTTGAACCTGAATTCATTCATTTACAAAGTGGGTATAATAAAAAAATCCTCTTGCAATTATACAACATCCTTTCCCCAGAATCATAGTGGTACTATCAAACAGTGAGAATGAATATATGTGAAGGTGTTTATATAAAACCTATTCAAAAAGTGCTTTAAGTTATTTAAACCTTTGAGATGATGAAAGCAATAAAATTAAAATATTTTCAACTGGTCTATCAGTAAGCAGCTCTGGTCAAATGTTGGATGCAAACAGAAGTAAGCAAAATGTTGTCCTTAGAAAATTCAGTGTATATGAATGGCATTAGTTTCACAAATCTTGCAAAACTCTGGCATCAAAGATATGAATAACATTTGAAGAAATCAATGATGCTCTCAACCTAGTGTGTGATATTCTTAGTTCATAAAAAAGAAATTTTGAGGTTCTGTTTATAATAAGGCTTCTGATTTACAAGTGGCATTGTCTTACGCATGAAAATGACAATTTTAATATTTTCTTTTAAGGCACTGAACCTTGAGAGAAAGGTTTTTTATGAGTAGGTATTCAAACTAATGTCTGAAACATGTAGGCCTACTAAAGTACTTGAAATTCATTCTCAGATTCTTACGGTTTGTTATAATGAGTATCCAGAACCAAACAAGTATTCCTTCTTTTTTACATTTTTGCCTTAAAAAATATGCTATTATAGATAAAGTTTCAGCAGTATTTTAAAATCTATCACCTGCCACATAAACGTAATCCATGTGAGTTTTCTGTTCATGTTTCATAGGAACTCAAATAAACTTTTGAATATAATAAAATAAATGAGAACTCTGTCGGTATTTTATCAAGACACACATAGTGGTAATTTTCTTTGGTTTTCTGTTTTCTAAAATTCATGTATCTTATTAACACCAAGCAGGTGTTTTCTTCATGTCAAGCTTTGCATGAGCAAGCTGTTATCACACTTATTTCAGTGTCACTAAATATGGTTGCCTCAATTAAAGATCTGAGACTCCTAGTGCTTTCTTCAGGCAAAGTCCAAAAAGCTCAGTCACAGATTTATTAAAATCCACATCCACAATAGGATGCATCAGACATATCAGGCTGACAGAAAAAATATTTTAAATTAAATACATGATTTCATGTATTACCAGAATGATTCATTATGAGATTACTTTTGTAACAAGGGTAGTGACCCTGTATATAACAATAAGAAAAATCATTCCTCAATAAAACATGTGAACATTTATAAATACTGGTTAGTCAATTAACCAGTTAAATAACCAATAACCAATTAAAGTTAGTAATTAACACATTGACTAAAAGAATATGATGCTTTCTATTTATTTGTCTTGGTGGCAATCACTATTATATTTAACATATTTGAGGCTGAAGAACTTAATATATATATTTTTTTTCACAAGTCTCTAAAATAGGTACCAGTATTCCATTTCATAGATGAGGAAACCGGGGTCAATAAGATAAGTAACTTGCCCACATCAACACAACTGGAGTGGTGGAGCTGTCATTTGAACCCAGGTTGCCTGGTTCCAGAGTCTATGCTTGTAACCACTATTCTCTGTTGCATGGGTTGTTTATCATGGTTAATATTTTCTTGTTTCACCATGCTAAGTTCCCCATTGCTAACAATGGTGTCTTTAAACTACTGTATAGCATTCAGTTGGACAAAGACAGGTGAGTGGATTGATAATATCGTGTCCTACCAATCCTTCACCACTGTGTGTAAATAAAGTCCTAGCTCAGATATGTTGTATGTTAGATGGTCTGAGAGAATCACTATGGTCCATCTAGTTTCAAGAGAGCGAAGAAAATTATATCTAGGATAATTGATTTTTTGCTACTGACAGCTCATTCAGTAGCTAACAACCAACCCCACCTATCTCCCTGGATGTTGGTAAAATCTTCTTGGACAAGCAATTTTGTTGTATAACATACAGTGTCACATTAAGGTATCAATTAATATTGGATTTTTCCCACATAAATCCTACATAATTGAACTAAAACTGTGAGAGATGAGTGCGAACAGTGAGGGGCAGTCCAGACCACATGTAGGAGTCACACTTTTCCTCCCTGCAGCCTGAGATTCTGGAATTCTCCCATCTCCAACCCCTTGAGACTCACTGGAGCCAGGGCGTGGCTCCTGATGATTTCTGTCTTATCTCTTAGACTGGATGAGATGGATGAGATGTTCCTCTCCTCACACTTGCTGTTTCCCTCCTACAGGAATGCTCTCCACCACAAGTTGTCTTTCTTCCTCCCCCGTCTACATCCTTTTCAGTCCTTCTTCATACTCTTATTAGGAGTAAAGTTTCGATGCCCCTTCTGCAGAAAGCCTCCCCGACTAACTCTTCTAATTCAGTCTCCCACTCCCAACAGGTTCTTTTAACTGCAAATGAAAAAAAAAATAATAATGGGTCTGGAATCTGAAAGCAAGCTGGACTCAGAGCTAGGCTCTTTTATTCTAACAACCTCAAACTAGGCTACTTTGAGATCATGACAACATGGGACAGAGCAGGTCCACTTGGTTATTTTGTGTAAGCCCAGGGAAAGGCAAGGTTACAATGCTACGCAAAAATACAAAAGTTCCTGTCGCTCGGCTAAAATAAGTAATACTTTTTATGTAACCAATTAATAAGTTTTATTTTCATTCTGGTCTTCCTTCTCTAAAGCGAAGGTTTATTAAGATATTATGAATGTCTCTCTCTCTCTCACTAACTCTGCCTGTCCAAAAAAAAAAAAAAAAGATACTATGAATGTAAGTCCTTAAATTAAAGCCCCAAAATCTATGATTCTCTAGCATCTGGGGGAACTTGGTAAGGTCTCAGATAACACTACTGGAAATCCCTCTCCTCACTGTTCTTGCGGGTAAGATGTAGCTGAACAACCTCTTTAGCAAATGGACTTGATGCAGGTGGATTTTCTGGGCAGCAGTGCCCTCCCACAGCAGATCCTGGAGGCTCTGAAGCTGAACTCCAGCCCCTCTCAGCTGGCGGGGAGCAGCTCCCATGGCACAGAGAAGTGCTGGGTAAATAGTCCAGCTGTGCAAATAGGACAGATTTGCCTAAGTTCATCCCACAGAAGAGCCTGATAATGTCTTTCTGAGTGCAAAGGCAATTAGGAGTGGCCAGTGCTGTGGCACAGCAAGTTAAACTGCCATCTGCAGCACCAGCATCCCATATGGGTGTTGGGTTTTAATCCCAGCTGCTCCACTTCCAACCAAGCTTCCCAATGTGCCTGGGAGAGCAGCAGAAGATGGCCCAAGTGCTTGACTCCCTGCAGCCACATGTGAGACTGGGAAGAAGCTCCTGGCTCCTGGATTTAGCCTGGCCCAACCCTAATCATTGTGGCCATTTGGGAGTAAAGCAGTGGTTGGAAGAGCCCTCTTTTCTCTCTCTCTCTCTCTCTCTCTCTCTCTCGTTTTGCTGTAGCTCTCTCCCTCTCTTGCTATAACTCTCTCCCTCTCTTGCTTTAACTTTCAAATAAATAAATGTTTTAAAAAAGGCAATTAGGAAAATATTTTTGCATGTAATATAAAGAAGGAGTGAAAAAGGAAAAGGCATGGAGGAAAAAAATCTAACATTAAACTTCTAATTTTGTGCTAGAGACATATATTAGTTTCTTGAGGTGTTAAGGTAAATTCCATCATTATTAATGTTATCAGGAGGGTCACCTCCTCAAGTATATTAATACAATGCCTGTTATTTCAGGGTGAAATACCAATATCCTTATGACTAATTCTACATTCCTGATACACGTGACACATTTTGCACATGAAAAAGAATATTTATAATGAAACACCAGTTGAATTGATATTTTAATACTTGTGACCCAACCTCAAAGAAAAATTCAACACACTGCAAGATATCTCTTGACTAATTAGCACTGTCAATAAGAGGAGCGGGTTAGTAAGTGGGGGCAGGACAGGCTCTTAGAAGCAGGGACTTCTAGCTTCATCACTAATTGGTTTTTACATTAGAGGAAAATAACGTTTTCCTGCTTTAGAACA